CACCCGGGAGCAAATCGCGGCGCTGGCGGACAAGCTCAACTCCTGCGCCATCAGCACGCAGGCCTTGGCTAACCTCCACACCCCGCGCGTGGTGGTCCTGCGGCACGCCGTACAGCTCCCGCTCAACCGCCGCCTGGCGCTGCAGCACTCCCGCCACCTCCACCAGCGCGTCTACATTTGGCGCTCGTACGACCGCATGCTGGACCACACCCCAGTGCCTGCGGACGTCGCGGCCCGCTTGGACCGGGCCTCTTACGACCATACCGCAGACATCCCCACGTTCAACCTCTTCTTCGTGGGCTGCTTGTACACCTTTGCGGATAGGGACGCGCCCGCCCTGCACCGCGTCACCAACAACCAAGCAGACGGCGTCGCCATCACGCTGCACCCGGAGGACGAGCAGTACGCGCAGGACCACCCCGGCGAAAACCCCCTCATCCTGCGCCACCTCCCGCAGGCCATCGTTGTCCGACCCGCCGGCCCCGCCCTGGGCCGCGTGTGCAGCGACCCCATTCCGGAGGGCTGCATCGTCATCACCCCCATCAAGCAGCGCATCACCGTGCGAGCGGCCCGCCCCTCCGAGCCCGACATCGACGTGCAGCGGCACGGCTTTCGCCTGGTGGACGGCTACGCCCTCACCGACTACTGCGTGCAAGGGATGAGCTTCCGCAGCGGCGACACCTGGCTTCTCCACCTGGCGCTGCCGCCCGACGGCCACCTCTCCCGGGCCTCTCTCTACGTCATGCTCTCACGGTTTAAGCGATGGGAGGACGTTCGCCTCCTTACCCCCCTCTGGAACACACCGGAGGAGCGCACGCAGGTCATCACGGCCTTCCTGCGCTGCGCGGAGAGATCCCCGCCCCTCGCCGCTGAGATCGATCGCCTGGAGGCCGGCTCGACGCGGACCATCCAACAGCACCCCGCTCGTATGCAGGAGCTCCGAAACGCGTACCACGCTGCGAGGCCGCAGGTGCGCCCAGTCCCACGTCGCACACCCCAGCCCTACCACCTGTCTTATCATACACACCCGTCCTCCTCCGCGCCCACGTATCCGTACCTCCCTCCTCTGATCCCCCTTCCTTCCCGTTGCATACCCTCCTCCTGTACAGGCTTCTGCTCCTCAGGAAGGCTAGCGCCGCCACCCCACCTTGCCCCGTGCCCGTACCACCACAGGTAGGTCCTTCCAATAATTTGGACCCTCACGCGCACCGCCCCTTCCCACCCCCTCATTACCGTGCCCGCTCCTCCCTTTTCGCATGTCACTCGGGCATCTATCGCGATACTTCCCTTGCTACCCGCTCATTTCCTGTACATCCCTCACCCCTACCCCGTCCCGGCGTGCCCCTCATCTCCTGCCCGCCATTCCTCCGCAGGCCGCGGCTGTGCGGCTCCGCTTGCTCGGCTACATTGCCAAGATAGGCCACCGCGCAATGTTTTGCGTCCCAGTGGCATGGTGCCATGCGCCTTCGATCCTCCTAGCTATCTCGGTGCTTTTTGACTACAGCTCATGCTGTTTCGTGCTTCCATGTAACACCACGGTGCCGTCCTTCCAGTCCTTCCCAGCCCATCCTCGTTCAGCCATACCCATCTTCAGCACAGCAATTGACCCCCACACACACACACACCCGGCCAGTTTTCTTAACACCCACACCCACACCACTCCCCCCCCCACACACACACGCGCACACCGCCCCCGCCCCGCCGTCGGAGATACAGCGTAATCTGGACTGTACGGCAAAAAAGTGCGCCTGGATGCCGCGCCCCAGGGCTGGCGCCGACCCCCCATGCATCCTCGAAGGCCAGCACGAGACAGTACTGGAAGGATTTACTTTCATATACACTATTCGGGAAGGCTGGGAACTTGAGCTCGTCTGCCTTTGACCGGCTCCCACCGACGCAAAACCTGATCTCGCTGAAAATGGGAGTGCGCATAATTTAAAGCATTGAGTGAGGAAGCGATTGCAAGTGAAAAATGTATGGGGTTGTATCGAGACTTTGTGAGGAAACAGGCCGCGAGCGAGTACGGGTCAGAAATCGTCGCGGTGAAAGTAGGTACCCCTCGAATACCATCCCATACCGCTTTTACTTTATAAAGTTAAAGAGCACTATGTCTACAATAAAGCTACCTTGGCAATAACGTCTGGAAAGGGTCTGTTGGCGCGGAGCGCTAATTGGCTCACGACCCGAGCCACGTCTCGGAGCTTAAAGGTAAACGCCAATCTATTCTCTTGATAAGTATCTTCGATTGTGGCAAAACAAATCCGCATAGGCGGCGAGACCTTAGCTGCGGCGTTCGCGATGCTCACTCCAACTCGACGCCAAGCGCCTTAAGACGCTAAACCGAGATGGGCTTGATATTTCTGACATAATCGCGGTACAGAAAAGATCGACATCTGGCCGGTTCAGGCGTGCTTATTAGGTCGCGGACGTCGCGATGACACCTGACGGCTCGGAGCCCTCTCCCAAACGCCGAGACAGTCTTGCTGATAAAAAGCGAAACTACCACGGCACTCTCTAGTATGGTTCCTGTGAATCGGCGCCGTCTCAGTTGTTCCCTTTCCGCTCTCGCACACCCAACCAACCCGGCTGCAAACCTCTTTTAATTGGCGCACCCCTTACCATCCACCTGCCACCCCCAAGCACCGCGCTTGCCTCTGCGTTCCTTCCCCTCTGCACCTGCCCTTTAAGCGATTTTTTCCCGCTAGCCCTCCGCATTGAACCCCCCCCCCCCTCGCCCTTACCCCTCCATGCCCCTCAAGTTAACAGACGTCCTCCCCAAAGCACCCTTCCCACCTCTCCAGAAACACGTCCCTTTTGCAGCGAGCTGGCAGACGTCTTCGGATCATCGATCAACCCCTCCACCGCCCACCCTCTCGTTACACGCCACATACAGGATCCGCTGCGCCGCCCCACTTCCTCACCTCACCCTAACCACGCTGCCCCAGTTTCGGTTTATCGCGCTGCTCAACATTCCTGCCATCCCTCGATCCTTCCACGCCCGACATCCCACCACACATGCATTAAATTTATTAATAATTAACCCCATCACCCTCCCCACCCACCCGCACCCCCCAAACATAGACACGCACACACCCCACTCTCTGCACCGGCTGCACCACCTCACTGCTCGTTCCTGCCATCCCTCAAACCTTCCACGCCCGACATCCCACCCTGGACGCGTTATTTTTATTGATAATCGTCACCCGCCCTCCCCGACATCCCCCCCCCTCCCAAACCCTCCCTTGCATACACACCCCACTTCCCACCGCCCTTCCCACACCATCTCCGCCCTGCTCTCGACTGACATCCCTGGCACCATGGCAGTCTCTAGTATGGTCCCTGTAAAGTGACGCCGCCCAAGCATCCCCTAACCCACTCCTCACACGCAAGCAATACGGCTGCGAACCTCTCCCCAGTTACCATCCACCTGCCATTCCCGAACACGGCGCTTGCTTGTGCAGCCGCCCGCCAACGTGCTCATCACCGGGCGGGCAGGCACCGGCAAGAGCCGCATCTTGCTAGCGCTGCTGTGGCTGGCGCTCCGGTACGGGCATCACGACATGATCGCCGTCACCAGCTACACGCATCGCGGCGCTCTGGAGGTACGCACCTTGCCGCACGCAGGGGGGGAGAGAAGCACGGAGGAAGGGAGGGAGCGAGGGAGAGAGGAAGGGACGGAAGGAGGGAAGGAGGCAGGGACGGAGGGAGCGAAGGAGCAAAAGAGGAAAGGAGGCGGGGAGGGAGGGACAGAGGAAGGGAGGGAAGGACAGAATACCGCCCGGCCCCGGCTGCTGCTGCTGCCCACAGATCGACCGGCTACATTGCCAGGATAGCCTACCGAACAATGTTTTGCAACCCGCTGGCATGGTGCCGTCTTAGTGCTTCTGGGCTATAGATCGTGCCGCAACGCCAGCGCACATACTGTTTGCGTACTCGTCGCTGCATGGGTGCTTCTAGGCTACATACCTTCCCCTGCCAGGTTGGTGCACATGCGGCTTCGATACTCCTTGCCATCTCGGTGGTTTTTGACTCCAGCTCATGCTGCTTTCTGCCTCCCTGTAACACCACGGCGCCATCCTTCCAGTCCTTCCCGTTCCAGACTCGTTCAGCAGAGGATCGTACTGTGCCTATGCTGCGCTGCGCTTTGTTGTGCTCTTACCACACCACGTGTAACGCCAGTACTGCACTACATAGTGGTCTTGCCAACAACCTTGCCGGCGCAAGCCAGTCGCATAGACTTCTACATCGTGCATCTATCCCCGCTCCCTGGCATGTACGACCCGGCCAAAGACCACTCGTACATCCGTACGGCGCCATTGCAACGTGCACCTTCCAACCATCCACCTCTTGTACCGTACAACTCCTCGACTGCCCGTCAACACCTCCTCGCCACAACTTACAACTCCTCCACCGCCACTCAAGACATCGTTGTCCCACTGTACAGCTCTTTATCCGGTGTCAGGCGCACCATGTGAGCCTCTGCCATTACCTCACTACCCAGGCCCTGCACAATATGATGTGTACATGACATTGCTACCTGCCACAACACCGCCGCCGTTCAGCACACGCGTATACATCTTCATGCACCCACGCCCTTTCCACGTCCCACTGCGGGATTCGTTGCCATACCGTACAACTCCTCGACCGCCAATCAACACCTACTTGCTGTACCGTTCAACTCGTCCACCGTTAGTCAACACTGCCTGTCCCACCGTGCAATTCGGCCATCGTCTCTTATGTATACCTCTCCTCCCCCTACATGGCCAACGCCCTCAACCCAACCATCATTCCGCCAGCTCTCCCAAACGACAACCGCCCATCCTGCCTCACCGCAAAATACCCTCCTGGCTCCTATCCTACGCCCTTTATCGGCAACTCCCACGAGGACCCCACCTTCTCCTTCGCCGCGTTCCTGACCCCGTCCCCCACCCCCGCCCCTTCCAACCCGTGTTCTTCCCACGGTTAACCTACTCCATCCTGCAGAATCCCACCACAACGTTGCCCTCAATCCGGAACGTTCCTCGCACCTCCACCGCGACGCCACTCCCCGCTCCCGTGCTGTCCAGCCCCATGCTCGCCAGGGCATCACCACGGACTTGTACCTGTGACGGACATTCCGGCGGCATGCGCATCACAGGTTACGCTTTATACTCCTCCCATCCTCATCCCCCCTCCTCACGTTTCCTGTCATTCCCCAAACCCCGACCCCGCCCTTCTTTCCCATAACTCACCCCTATCATGTCGAAGCTTGCCCGCGGCCGGCACAGCCCTACGGCATACCCCGTTAGCACGTCGCCGAAATCACCCCCTCCACATGCCGTACACTGCGTTCCTGGCGCGCCTCCCAGCTTGCCGCACGCACCGCACCTGCACACAGACAAATTCACACCGCATTTGGCGATAGTACCACTTCCACAATGCGCCCTCCCCCCCCGCGGCTGCATCGCACTTCTTTCCCCTCCTCCCCCCCCCCCCCCCCCCCCCCCCCCCCCCCCCCCCCCCCCCCCCCCCCCCCCCCCCCCTTCCTCCTCCATACCTGCGCACTCTCCCTTCCGGAGTACTGAACAGCGTCCCACTCAGGCTCCCATTCAACATGCCGCCGACCTCCAGCTCTCCACGTGCCCCGGGCTGGCGAAACAGGGCCGCCTGCACGTCCTGCAGCAAGCCCTCCGACGCCGCGTCCTCCGCTGGCACCGCAAGGGAAGTCCCCATTGTCACCGTGATGGTGCCTTCCTCCAGCCGCACCTCCGCACCACCGGCAAACAGCACGCGCTGCCAAACAGCCGACCGCGCCATGCGTGCCACCAGCGCCTCCATGCTCTCCGTCGTGCGTCCACGCAGTTGCAGCTATATAAGCCAGAAATACACAGGGACGACCACAGGCATTACCGCACCGCACGTCCCATACGGGTTTGGCAGGGCGCAGCATCGTGCCAACAGTGACTAACGATCCATTCTTCATCACACCTCTTGCAAGAATATGGGTCCAGGCCAAACAGCAGTGCAGGCAATCAGCACAGCCCCCATACGGGCCTCACCCAAGTTGCGGCCGTCAGCGCCCAACCCCCACCCAACCTGAAATAACGGCTCCACCGCTTCCCAACCTTGTGCTCCACGCATCACCGCCCGCCCCCCCGTCATCTCCATGTCCGGCAGATGCCGCACCACCTCCTCCTTCCGGGTCTGCACAGCAAACAGCACCAACGCGGCCGTTAGTATTTTTCAAGCCATACGCACCGCCCTCCATTATTTCTGCCCTACTCACTCCGCGTGGCGCCAGCAGGAGATGTCCATTATCAAACCGGTTGCAGTTGTCGACCGCGCTGATCATCTTTTCGCGCAGCTTTACGCGAGGTAGGTCCTGCACATAACACCGTGCACATTTTATCTCGTATTCCAAACCCGCAAGACTTTCGCGACTCAATCCATTCCTCACCGCTTCCCGGCCGACCACATCCACCGCTCCTCCTGCGCTGACCTGTGCCGAGCTCGTGCAGTACTGTGGAATAGTATACTGCCCACGCCCTCGCCGGGCGCCGCGCACCCTGACCTTCTGCCCGATGATGCCCTGTCCACGACCTAAGTTGCACAGCTCCTGCACCACTTCCGGCCTGAAGATAACCAACATCTCAATCCCCTCCTCATTGTCCAGAGCCACATAGAGCCGCCCATACTTTAGGCTGCTGACATTCAGCGGATCGCCGCTCGCGACCCCAGGAATGAATCCAACAACCGTGCCTTCTAAAGCGCCTATCGGACCTCTAGTACCACCTTCCGGAGCGTGCCCGACCGACCTAAACGCACCCTCAGCCTGCTGCCGTCCTTGCGGAACCCCAAACGTCTTCTCCAGAATTGAACTTAGCTCCTCCATGCCTACGGCTTTCTTGTTTTCTTCTTTCTTTATACACCTCACATTATATAACACTGCTCTGCAATTCTCTATACCTTGTCGCCCCCCTTGTCACCATCCAGCCTCCTCCGTACTAACGACCTTGGTGCTTCCTTCCTCCTTTCCGCGTTCTTCTTTATCGTCTGCGCTTATCTTTCCGCACCAATTCTCTTACTTCACAGCATTCCTTTACCATACTGCTACCCTCTCGCAACAACTGCACTACCTCAGTAATACAGTCCACATGCAACCGCAACCGAATCCTCAGCCCCTCGCCTTCACCGTGACCTCCCTATCCGCTCACAACACCGTCGCAACCGCACTCACGGACCACGGCGAACCGGCGAGCATAACCGGCGGCGCCTTTCCCTTCCGACCGGGCACTCGCTTCGCTCTTCGCAACGCCCGATCCATCCTCCATCCCACCCTCAACCCCGCCTTTACTCTCAACTACGCCCTTCTTCCCGGCACCCGCGTCGCGGAGCTTCCCCACATTCCGGTACCTTCACTCCCGACTACCTCGCTTTCCCTCCACAACCTTTTTTCCTAATTATCCTCCTCCTCTTGTAGAATCCGCCCGGGCACCGCATTCGTTCTCACCATCTTACTTCGCAGCCTCTCCCGGGCAACCGCTACAATTGGTTCGTCTTCCCGCTTGTACCCACCCGCGACGGCCCCTCTCCTCACCTCTCCATCGCTCCTGCTGTCTTCATCTCCCGCCATCACAACGAATCCCTCTTTCACTTCGTTTCCCAGCTCAGAGTACGTCCCTCACCACACCTCCTCCCTAACCACAACTGCCGCGCTCAACATTTCTTCTGCCCTTCCAGGCCGACCTTTCCGGCCGCCCCGATTTCCAGCCCAATACCACAGCTCCTTCGGTACTGCACCGCGCTTTCTTCGTCACCAACGGACAAGCCTCTCGGGTATGTCCTTGTTCTCCTCCACACTTCCCTCCTCACCCGCTTCACCCACTCTTTTCGTCCCTTTCCCTACAGGACGACGTCATGTACGCCCTCCGCGACAGCACCCTCACTGGTATTCACCCCGACAGTCCCGCTCTCCCCGAGATCATCACCTACCTTTACTCCCAGAACCTCCTCACCATCGCTGCCGTGCCACCCCATGATGAGGCCTTCGCACCGGGCGTCTTCTTCCCTCGCCGCGTCGTTCCCCGGTAAGCCCTCCTTTCCTTTCCTGCTCTCCTCTGCCTCGTCCTCTTCTCTTCTGCGCCGCCGCCTCCTTCCTCCTCCATACCCCTTCTCACCTCCCCTCCCTCCCGCGCACCCCAGGTGCGATGGTTGCTGCGCAGCCTTCGACCTCAACCCCGACCGCTGCCCTAACCCCGCCTGCAACCACGACGGCTTCACCTTCATCGTCGAAGGCGACCTCGTATCCCTACGTTTCGGCCCTGCTCGCGATGGCATCCACGCCCACGTCAGCCGCCCTCACCTCCTCAACCTCATGTTCCCTGGCCGCCGCCCCACCTTCCATTCGGCCCTCCGCGCCGCCTGCAACCCCCTCACGTACGATGCCCTGCGAGCCTTCATGCTCCCGCCCACCCCCGGTACCTTCTACGTGTCGCTGCACGACGAAATCACACGCTTCGCACCGGCAGACGTACCCCCGGAACTGATCGCGGGCGCCCCACTGCCGGGCTAATGACAAACGTGGGGCAACGCCGATGATATTGGAGTGGCAGGCCCCAGGATATTCAATCCAAATCTGGGCGACCGTATTCCAATGGCAGGGCCAACGGGCAACTACGCCCTGGCAGAGCTTCCTGTAATGGCACGGTTGCACGTGTTGCACTTGCTGGGATGACAATGTTGGACTCATATGCGCAACCGTGTTCTTCGAATCCGAACGCATCTTACTGCTTCTTGCCTTTAGGTCATCCCGCCAGGGAAGCGCACAGACCACTTGCCTATTCGTCGCTGTAGGGGTGATTTTGGGCTGCGTACACTTCCGTACCGGCTTGGCAAACATGGGGCTGGTGACAAACGTGGGGGCAACGCCGATGATGTTGGAGTGGCGGGCCGAAGGATATTCAATCAAGATCTGGGTGACCATATTGTAGTGGCAGGGGCAACAGGCAACTACGCCACGGCAGAGCTTCCTGTAATGGCACGGTTGCACGTATTACACTTGCCGGAATGACAATGTTGGACTCATATGCGCACCCGTGTTATTAGAATCCTAACGCATCTTAGTACTTCTTGGCTTCAGATCATCCCGCAAGGCAAGCGCCTTGCCTATTCCTCACTCCAGGGGTTATTTCGGGCTGCGTAGATTGTCTAAACGGAGCTCTCTGCCAAACGGCCCGACATTCTTGCTGATTAACAGCGAATCTACCACGGCACTCTTTGGTACGGCGCCTCTAAACTGGCGTCGTCTCGGTTGCTCTGTTTGCCACGCGCTGCTCACACCCAACCGGCACGGCCCCAGACCTCCTGATTTCCACCCACTTACCACCGAAACACCGCGCTTGCCTCTGCGTTTCCCTCTGCACCTGCACTCCCCAACATTCCACGTTGCATTACTTTTATTCATAATCTTCCTCTTTATACTCACACCCCATTTACCGCTGTTCCCTTTACATTCCTTCGCCCCCCACACCCCCCACACAGTTCCCACCCTCTCCCCCCACACCACCCCCGCCCCGCCGTCCAGCCCCCAACGCCTCGCAGTGTCGGCGCGCGCGCGCGCCGCTTAGTATGGCGAGGGGGGGATGGTGCCAGGAATCACAAGGAGGGCTGGGGTGACGTATAGGCGACGAGGGGAGAAGGGGGGGAGGAGGGGGGTGGGAGGTCGTGTCAAAACACATGCCGTACAGATGCCGTACAAGTGTACGACAGCCGCCGTACACTGCCGTACAGTGGTGTACGACAGTTGTCGTACACTGCCGTACATGTCGTACACCACATGACGTCTTGCCACACAGTACGGCACAATTGCCGTACAGTTTGCTGCCGTACAGTGTGTTGTCGTACTCGAGATCTCTCAGAACACCATCCCCACAGGTCCAGGCATCATCTCCAAGGGTGCCCAGGAAGTCGCCAAGAGGTCGCTACCTGGCTCGAACCGGAGACCTCTGGCTGGCTGGGCACAGGACTGAACGCTTAGCGCCCCAAGGACCTTGCCACCACTTTCGCGGACACACAGACAGACAGACAGACAGACAGACAGACAAAATTTCGATAGCGCCGCGTCGTGGTCGCCGCGGCCGGGGGTACCATAAATCCTGATTGGTGATGAATCCGCGAACGAACAAGCTTTGCGTGCCGGCATGACTTCAGCATTGCGGACCTAACATTGGCGCGCCGACCAGTGTTGTGAGGTTGCTCATGTGTTGCAGACAAGCATGGTCGGCGGACCTGATGTCAGCGTGCGGCTCATGTTCGAAAGCAATAGTCGGCATGGCGTACATGTACGGCATGGCGTCGAACTGCTTCAAACTCAAATTTTGGGGCGCCTCCGGACGTTTTCCGCTATCGGTGACCTCTTGGGGCTGCCCTACGGCATGGTGGTGTGTCCAAGGCACGAAAAGCCCTTGTTCTGTACCAACATATACAGGTAGAGCCTCGCTACCTGCGCACTACATGCACACACACACACACACACACACACACACACACACACACACACACACACACACACACACACACACACACACACACACACACACACACACACACACACACACACACACACACACACACACACACACACACACACACACATGTGCGCATGAGGGCGACGTCTCATGACCCGTGGGTCAGTGATCACCAAAAAAGCGATCATTTTCGGCGATCAGCAATCAGCGCTTTTCAGGAGATGCGCCGACTTCACGACCGTGCTTCTCGCCGAGACCAGCTTGCAAATCGCGCCGAAAGATTTTTGCCGATGCCAGGCCAATTGTGCCGAAATCTAAAGAGCTTTCACGGCGATCTCCCCTGACAGCATTCGCCGACCAGCAATCGCCGATCAGCTACAGTTTTCGGCGATCAGTAATCGACGCTTTTCAGGAGATGCGCCGACTTCACGACGGTGTTCAAAGGAGCCAGTGCGACGAGGGGGTGGTGAGGGGGGTGGGGAGCATGGAGGGGGGTGGTCACGGTCACCAAACAGTTTTACGCTGATTTTGGAAAGTAACCAAGAAACTGCGAATGGCTCATTAATTCAGTTATAGCTTAGTCGACATCACAATGCAGGATATTGCAACAAGAAGATTGGTGGTACGCGGTGCCCGAAGCCATGCCGTACCGTGTCGCTGTACGACAGGGGTGATCAAAGGAGCCAGAGCGACGAGGGGGTGGTGAGGGGAGTGGGGAGCATGGAGGGGGGTGGCCACGGTCACCAAACAGTTTGACGCTGATTTTGGAAAGTAACCAAGAAACTGCGAATGGCTCATTAATTCAGTTATAGCTTAGTCGAGATCACAATGCAAGATATTGCAACAAGAAGATTGGTGATACGCGGTGCCCGAAGCCATGCCGTACAAAGTCGCTGTACGACAGGGGTGGTCAGAGGAGCTAGAGCGGCGAGGGGGTGGTGGGGGGAATAGGGAGTTTGGAGAGGGGTGGTCACAGTCACCGAACCGTTTTACGCTGATTTTGGAAAGTAACCAAGAAACTGCGAATGGCTCATTAACTCAGTTATAGCTTAGTCGACATCACAATGCAAGATATTGCAACAAGAAGACTGGTGATACGTGGTGCCCGAACCCATGCCGTACCGTGTCGCTATCCGACAGGGGTGGTCAGAGGAGCCAGAGCGACGAGGGGGTGGTGAGGGGAGTGGGGAGCATGGAGGGGGGTGGTCACGGTCACCAAACAGTTTGACGCTGATTTAGGAAAGTAACCAAGAAACTGCGAATGGCTCATTAATTCAGTTATAGCTTAGTCGAGATCACAATGCAAGACATCGCTACAAGAAGATTGGTGATACGCGGTGCCTGAAGCCATGCCGTACAAAGTCGCTGTACGACAGGGGTGGTCAGAGGAGCTTG